TCAGGGGAAAATGAGGGAATGGTGCACGACCATTCAAAAATATGACTGGGTTTCTAACGATACAAAGCTTAATGCAAATGGGTGAAGTGTCCCTTTAATTACCTTATACAAGGTTTGATACACAGTTTTTACCCAGGTTTGCAGGTCATGTCAGATTCCTCCTCCACATGCCACAACTTGCGGTCAGCCACCTCCGAGCCCGACATAGTTGATAAACTTCTGGATAAAGAAATTAAAGATACATTCATGATCTGTCCATTTCCCAGTCCACTGTTCCCTACATTTAGAATCAGTCATCCCCACACGGCTCCTCAGTCCCAAGCATCAATAGCCTAATTCCCAGGCCAGATTTCTTCATGCAATATGCAACAATCGACCATGCTATCTCCCTCATCCGCTTAGCTGGCCAAGGAGCCTGGTTGTCCAAGGCAGACATCACCAATGCTCTTAAAGTCTTTCCCATCCACTCCGACAACTGGCATCTCTTTGGCGTTTTCTGGAAGGGTGCAGACTACTTTGCCATGCGCCTGACCTTTGGGTGCAAAAAATATTTGATTCCTTGTCCGTAGCCTTCTGCTGGATCTTGACAAACAACTACAAACTCGCCCACAAACTACAAACCCATACATTGTCCATCTCCTCCTATGACTTTTTCACAGTCAAACCATCATCTTCTCCCCCATCATACAGTCTCAATACTCTGCTTTCAATGAGCTTGGAGTTCCTCTCTCCCCAAAGAAAACAGAGGGTCCCTGCACATGCCTGGAATTTCTTGGTATTATCCTTGACTCCGTTTCACTCCAAGCATCCCTGTCCACTGAGAAAGTCCATCGGATTTTCTTCCTCATTTCAAATTTCCTCCCGGCTCACAGATGCACTAAACGACAACTTCTCTCACTGCTCAGCCACCTCAATTACGCCATCTGCATCACCCCCCAAGGTTGATCCTTCTTGTCACACCTCCTTTCCATAGCCTCCTCTGTTACATCTCTCCATGACCATGTCTCACTGAACAATGCATGCAAAATGGAGCTAAAATTATGGCACCAGTTCCTCTCATCATGGAACGGCATTTCATTATTTTATGACGACCACATCACCAAGCCAGAAGGCATCCTGCTATTCTACTTACGGCTACTTTGGCAGCAGGTGGTTTATAGCCAAATGGTCACCTTAATTCTCATCTCTCTCTCCTTCATTCGCCATCTGCGCAATATACATCGTCATCATAGCAGCTATTCTTTGGGTTCACAAATGGTCCAAAAAACCCATCTCCATCCACTCCGACAACAGCTCCGTCGCCGACTAGACTACATCAACTCCAGGCTAACCAGCAGCGCTTTCCCCCAGGACACTCTGGTTATCACAGAGACAGGCAAAGTAGCTACACAAAATTGATCTTCATCTCCACTTCCGCCAAATCCTGTCCAGATCAGTAAATATCCCCAGAACCATACTCATGGCATTCGTTTCGCATCAGAGCATCCACCGCTTCCAGGCAGGGAATCAGATAACATCATTAAACTCCTCTGCAGATGGTCTTCTCCAGCATATTTTACGTACATCCGTAATGACCTGAACAATATTAAAAACGCCCACACTTATCTGTCGATTTGAAGTTTGTTTGAGAAGAGATAAGAAGAGACGGCTCCCCCACTCAGACTCTCATCAACCATTTGGTTCCCTCCTACCATCTTGCTAAACTCCACCATCCATCCATCCATTCATCACAAACCAAATTTTTCATCCATCTGTTGATCCCTCAACCCTTCCCTTCATCCCTCGACCCTCGTCCCTTCGTCCTTAATCCCTTAACCCTTTACCAATCCATTCATCCCTCCTACAGCTTATCCTATTAGTTCACATTCATCCATTATGTGTAATAAACCTTTCTAATTCCATACGTTCATCTGCGTACGTCCTTTCAAGGTTTTTATGTTTTCACTTTTTGTACTTTAATATTATGCTGACACTGAGCTGATGTTATCTGATAGATTGCACTGGCTGTACTATAAATTACAACCTGAATTTTAGTTAAATGTCTTCTTTCTATCTCTGTCAGTCTCTCTTAATTTCTATTCTTGTTGTTTCTCTCTTTTCTCTTCTTCTTTCTCTCCCAGTTTCCCTGTCTCACAGCAGAACCTGTCGCCTTGAAGCTTAAATCTTTAATGTAAACCGGTAATGAAGTACCAGCTTTAGCTTTATGCAGAGATCTCTCTCTACTCCCTGGAGGGTAGTTAAGAGACAAAAGAATGAAAGGAGGCATGTAACAGATACAAAAAGGAAGGGACGTACTGTAGAGGAAGCATGACTGAAAGGGAGTCCAATCTGTCAAAAAACAAGGAGGAAATGGAGAGAATGAGATGAGAGGGTGAAGGACAGCATGTGTAACAATAGGCATTATAGTGGAGTAGCACCTGGCACACGTGGCCAAGCTCCCGGTTGGGAAATGGATTGTTTCCAGGTGTGTTTGGCTAAGTCTGTCCCTGTTCACCATGAACACACACACACAAGCAGGTCTATAAATATACTGTACACACAAACACATACCCTTCTTTATGTGTAAACAGACACACTTTACTAAATCATCTTAACTGGCATGGTGATTAAAACTATGCATAAGCACAAACTCCGGGTGTTTTGTCTTTCTGTCCAACTTTTTCTTTGTGTCTTCTCCAGGCTCAATTGTTCTGTCCAATAACCTACTGCAGTTATTTCATCAATATTCAACTCCTCTTTACTTCCCTCCGCTCTTGTGCCTGTCTCGTCTTCTGCCCTTCCTCCCTACTCTCCCTCTCTCTCTCTGCAGGCCTGAATGAGTGTGCAGACAACAATGGTGGCTGTTCCCACATCTGCAGGGACCGAAGAATTGGTTATGAGTGTGACTGTCCCTCTGGGTACAAACTCCTGGACAAAAAGACTTGTGGAGGTAAAAAAAAGAAGTTATGCGACAAAACTAGTGCTTTAGTGCAGGAGACCATAACTAATGTATAATCACACCTTTTCAAGGTCCGGCCAGGTTGCGCTGGTGCTATTTCTTTTCTGCTCTCCTCTGCTCTTTTTGGCTCTGGGAGCTCCATAAGAGTTTAATAGGGTTACTATCCCAACTATTAGCAAATGTTTTGGTAAAAGGGACATTTTGACATACCTTATTGGAAAACTTGTTTTTCATTATATATTTAAAGTCAGTTTCATTGATCTGCGTCCAGTAAAGGACGAAGTCTGGGACGTGACTTGAATCTGGCATATTTACATTTTGTATGTTTATTAAATACACATGGAAATATAATTTGAGACATTGTGGATTTCTGTAGCAGTTATAGGTTGGATATCATGACCAACAGCTACTGGATGTAACTTTAGTTTGGTTGCCAGGGCCAGATTCTTGGGTAGAACACCATCCATGATGGCAATATTATGGTTTTATTCATCTTAACTTTTACAGTTTTTTTTTCAATGGGACTAAAACACAGTGGAGTTTTTTTCAATGCATACTAAGTGTGTATGGTAACACCTACTGTAATTGGAGATGTTATATAGAATTGCTTAAAAGATTAATCAAAAACGCGACATTTTGAAACTGTCTGGGAAATCACAATGCCAGATTTTTGCATTTCTTCTCCTCAACAAGTTGAATTAGCAAGACACAAAGCATAAATAAGACAGCTTTGAAGTTGCTTGAAAGTGATTAAGTTTTACTTTGGTCAGAGCCAGTGAAGCAGTTTCCCCTGCTTCACATCTTGGTGCTAAGCTTGACTAAACACATCCCAAATCCTGATCTCAGTGAGATCAAATTGGTATTGATCTTCTCATGAGGGTGTGGGTTTGCTGGTAAACAAGTATTTCCCAAAATGTTTGACTTTGCTTTATAGTTTTATTTGGTTTTAGGTGCTTAAATGAACTGACTGAGTCTATCTGGTGTCCTAAACAAACAAGCAAGACAATATGTCTGTGCAGTGGACAGGTGAAATTATCACTGGACAGAATATTATAATATAAAGAATAATCCAGTCCACATTTCAGCCATCAGATCCTCTCCTTGAATAAGAAATAATATAATATTGAACCTTTTTTTTTTTTAAATTTGGGAAAAAATTACTTCTAATAACTTAAAAGCAACAATGGTCTCAAAAGTGATCCGTGCAAATGAAATTTAACTGGGTTTTCCGTAATTACATTTTCACTTAACAAGCTTTAGCTTTCACATTTCTCAAACTAAGATCTAATCCTGTCTGTTCCCCAGAGAAATACAAATCCTAGAAACTCCATTTGAAGAATCAAATTCTTTTGAGAAGCATTGTTAGCTTGCTAGATACTGAACACATACTTTTCTTATTTCTCAATCTTCAGACAAAAAATACTGTGTTTCTCTATAGTTTTTTTATGATCTTTATGCCTTTGTGCCATGTTTCTCTTTACAGACATAGATGAATGTGAGAACCCAGATGCCTGCAGTCAGATCTGCATCAACTACAAAGGAGATTATAAGTGTGAATGCTACGAAGGCTATGAGATGGACCCTGCCTCTAAGACCTGCAAGGCCGTGGGTGAGCCATTTATCACTCACAAACACACACGCTCAAGCCCATTTGTACAGGTAAAGACGTACGCTGTCAAAGATGAATGTTCCCACCAAAATACAGTCATGAGCACACATGTACTTAAGAGGAATCACACGTCGAGCCCAACTCTTATATACACACCAATTACTTTCCCATTCAAGCACCCCTAGCTACCGAGTCACATCCCACACTGTGGGACTCTGTGAAACGGGATGCTCTCTTTGTATGCAGGCCTTGCACATCAATCTGTGCAAAGATAAATATTTGCCACCTTTTTCTGCAGTCCTCACTAATGAAAAGTTTGCAGCCAGCTGCCTCTGCTCTCCCTGGAGTGTCAAGGGAAGGATGCTGTGTGGGGAGGGGGGCCTGTCTTCTCTCTATAGCACACTAGCAGGGTCTGTACCCCTTGTTGGCCTGGGTAAACACTCCAAGCAGTGGTATGAATGAAAAAAAAATCCTCAAAACCGCACCAGGCACGGTTGTTATTGAAAAATGGTCCGCCTAAATCCTGAAGTGAAGATGCAACTGTAGCTTGTTAGCTGCCTTTTGAAAAGCTCCATGTGAATTCTGGGTGTTTTTAATCAGTGCCCCCATTCTCTGTCCGTTACAGCTGGCTTTACCGATAACGACACTGTCTGTCAACAACCATTTAGACACCTGCAGATAACGTTTCACTGACAAATTAGAGCTTCTGATGTGTAGTGATGTTATGATAAAAGTTGATGTATATTTTACACCTAACAGTGCGGAGAATTTCAGCAGCATTATCAGTGCTTTACCAACAGTATAAAACAGGAAACATAGGCTTTTACTCTGGGAGTGTGAGTGCCTTGCAACTGCCCCTTTACTTAAATTGGGAATAGAACCTTTAACTGATTGAGTTACACAGCAAATTAACTTTTTTTTGTGGGAAAAGAGAGAGAAAAGAGTGTTATTAGTGATTACCGCCATCGGTCTTAGGTTGAGTCATTATAGGGTGAACTGGTCTGGTAATGAGAGAGCTTAAAGCAGAAAACAGGCCCTCACTCTTAAGCTAAGTGGCATAAAATCCACCATTGATTGCTTCATGTCTCTCTGTGTGAATCTTTATTACTGCTAGGCAGAGCAAACAGTCCTTGTCAGGTCAGGGCATTTATAAGAGGGGAGAATAGGCAAGCAGAGGAGAAAAGATAGAGAAAAAAAGATGGATGCATTGTATGAATATCTTTCTGCTCATTGAAGTAATGCAGAGATGCATCCCGCAGTGTTGACTGTGGCACGTCATAGTGTGCCAAAAGAGACGGAAAGACAGAAAATGTGACAGGATTATTGTTTATGTTGTGGTTTATTTATTCCTAGGCACAAATAGGGCTGGGACCATGCATGCAGAGATACTGTATCTGCTTTGTGAAGCTAATGAAATGAAATGTGGATTTAATGAAGCTCCATTTGCCTGTGAACTCATTTTTAGACACATGTAAACCCTATCACACATGGCCACAGACGTCAGCACATATAAACACTTTCTGGTCACACAAATGCACATGTAGGCATTTTGGGGAGTCATGTCAGAGTTTGCACACAGACACAATTCCCCTGTGACTGACTGGCCTGGAGGAATGTCACGTTCTGTGCTGAGACGTGACATGTGCCAAGTGGCAATATAATTTGCACATATTGAAGTGCAGGCTGCAAAATACCAGGCTGTTATTTGTGCTTCTTTGTCAGAGGCACACAGCAAAAACACAATGTCATCCTCAAGTTACACACAATGCCATATATAGCTTATTTCCCCCTGCATTTCTTGCTTGTGTTTGTTGTAGTTAGCCCAAGTTGAGCCTATGCAGATAATTAGGAGAAGAGTTACTCATAGCTGAAGAATAACCTCTGCTCTTTGCATTCTCGTATGTGAGTGCATTTCATTCTGATCCTTACACGTTGTTTCAGCCTCTGCAGATTAATTTCAGAGTAATATGCAACTGTTACAGGAGCAATGCTAATTAAAATTTAAGTCCCAGGTTGGAGTCATAATGCGTTCACTCTTCTAAGCTGGTATTTGTGTATGCATATCTGTGTGCATGTTTGTATTGGTACATGGCAGCGCCCATTAAGTCCCCTGAAGAAAGCCTTGCTCTACTACTAATTGCATTCATTGTTTTTGTGTTTACACCTTTATGGGTGTGATGCCACTCACTGAGTCGTCAACTTGAGTTATTATTATTGTGCGTAAGAGACAGCAAGAGAGAGAGGCAGTGTGGGAGTTTACTTTATGTATGAGGTATGAGAATAACAGCCGGTCCACACAGACCACAGTTTCTGAGGCATTTCTTGACCAGTTTAGTCATTATGTCATACATGAATCAGAGTTAATACAAAATTAAATTGGGCCAAGACCAAGAAAGAGAAAGAGAAGGATGGAGATGTGAGAGCCCACTTACATGAAGGAAGATAACACCTGAGTATTATTATCATTTTATGTCACAGCTGATCAGTCAACATATTGAGGGGAAGTACTGCAGCATAGTTTCTTAAGTTTCTTTGTCAGTGTCACTTTTTTCATTATTTTAAAAGGCTCAATAAAATAAAACTGTTCAATGTTGCAACTAGAACTTTAAATGCTGCAATAATGATTATAGCATTTCTGTTTTTTAATATTAGCTGATGTTTATAATGTGATTGTTGGATTCAACAATATATTCAGGGTGGATAAAAAAACAAATAACTATGCTGCAGATTTGACATGTCAATCAAAACAACAAATATCCCTCACTGGCTCTGCTCATTTGCATCTACTCAACTCAAGTTCAGTGTTTGCAGTGGTAAAGGGGCAAATATTGGGTGCACTGAAATATGAATGATATAGGTAATATTCACATACAGAAAATAAAATTGCTCTTTAATGACAGTTGACAACAGAGCCCTTTGAGGCAGTCAAATTAAAGTTCATGAAATTTACAGACAGGAGGCTGATAAAACGAGAAAGATGTGACAGCATGAAATACATTACAGGTACACACAGACTGGTTGATAAATGCCGGGCACGCTGTCGCAACAATGCAGAAGAAATTTACCGCCTGTGGACCAGTCTTTCTTTCTTTCTTTCTTTCTTTCTTTTTTTGCTCTTGTTTCTTTCTCTTGTTTCTTGTTCTTGCTCTCATCTACAGTGTACGGCAGGCTTAACAGTGCCAAGAGCAGTTTGTGCCACACTTGACAGTTTGAGCACACAGTTTTCAAAAATGGTTTAAAGCAGTGGTCAGATTTTCCCCATTGTCAAAAGATTTCCCCATGGGACCCAAGATGTTGTGGAACACTGTCAAATCTCATCTTAGAAGTTTCTCTTTCAGTTTTAGCTATTTAATGGACTAGTACATAACTATTTATTCTGTCTGCCTGTAGGAATATTGGAAAAATTCATCCAGAATACAAATTTTGCATATATCTATATATTTTCTGTGTTTTATCTTATCTCTATATGACCTATCAAGCTTGTTAGAAGACAAGGCAACAATTCTTGCCTTCCACAGAAATAATGAAGCATTATATAACTTTGTCATGCGGAATGCTACAGAGTGGAAAAAAACAGCACTTTTTGACATTTGTTGACAGAAGGTTCATTTCTGTTCCCTGCTGCAGCATCTATTCATCATTATATACCATGGTTTGTATGTCTTAATGAGCATGGCTGATGTGGTTCTACTTCCAGACATAACATCATCCTAATAACCTAATCCAGTGTAGGTCCATTCACGCTGGCTACAACTGTACATCCCCATCATCCTGCAGAATTTCATACCTTTATGTCTGACCTTTCCGTCTGTCTTCATGTTTTTATTCTTAGTTTGCATAACTCTACAACATAAACATCTGCTTTGGTATGAAACAAATCAATGCTCCTGCAGTGCCTGATGGCATTTCCCCAACCCCTATTTATCTTTTCACTGCATTATCTTAATTGGCTAACGTGGCACAATGGCCCTGAACTGGCAGTACAGATTAAAATATATCTAGGGGACCCTGTTCTTCTTAGCAAAGCCGACTGTTGCTCTGCTGGAATCTACTGAGGAGAGATAATATTGTACCTTTTGATGAGATCTCTGGTACCTTGGCCTGAAGAAAACAGTGACTCAGCTTTTTTTGCCTTGAGGAGGACATATTGCTGCGACAACAGTGATGAGGGATTGAGATGTTGTCTTGAAAAAGTGAGCCAGGGGGATTGATGAAAGAGAAATTAGATCTATCTCTGTCCTTATTATATATACTCATCCTGTCTTTCTCACTTTTTTTTGTTTCACTTTGCCCACCCGACTTTCTTTCCCCTGCTGTCACTTGACTTTTTGATATCTTTTCCAGCTTCCTCCCCTAATTACAATCTCGTACTCTTCATTTCTCCATAACTCTACCTGCATCCATCACATTTGCTTGTGCCTGTCTCTTTCTTACTTCGTTCCCTTCTCTCTCTCTCTCTCTCCTGTCTCTTTCTACTTCAGTCCCTTCTCTACATACTCTCATTCCTACTTCTACTCATCTCTCTCTCTCT